GTGCTGTGTTATGTGTGTTCTGATTACCTTCTCCAACACCCTGTCATTTCTTTCTCACTCCTATTACAGACTCCCCTCCCCCATCCCTAGCAGAACTTTCCTATGTTCGTGACTTTTAGTTTTGTGTTGTTACCTACTTAATGTAGCCAGGCCGTCGGGTAGCTACTGAATTGAAAGTGTCTATTGTAGCTTAATGGGGCCACCAGTGTGTGGACGACCAAGGCAAAAGCTCTCGCTTCCTGACTCTATCAGCAGCAAATAGATGAGTCAGGGCTCCCCCTCTCCTCCGTCCAAGCCCGACTGTTGCTGTTGTTGTTGTTGTTGTTTTGTTTTCCAGACCTGGTGTTGCTGTGAGTTTGTAATTACAATGGCCGCTCTTGCCCAGAAGATGGCCTCTCCTAGCCCCTCTCTCGGTCCTCTGGCTTGTACATTCTTTCTGCATTTACATTCTTACCCTCTTCCACAGTGTCCCCTGAGCCTTACAGGGGATGATGCAAATGCTATCATGATATAAATGAGGGCTGAACAGTCATCTGTCACTTATTCTCAGCACTCTGTGCAACCATGAGTTTCTGAGTTCTCGGCTTCATCGTTTAAAAATAAATTCATTCTTGTTATGAGTTATAAGGGCATTTCCCATTGTTTTTTTTTCGTTCTCTTTTTCATGTGTTTATGCAACAGAGGATATATATATATATGCGGGGTGACAGGCGATTGCGCATGTGTGGGAGGCCCAGAGTTGTTGAGAGTCTTCATCCACTGTACTCTAGTCACTAAGGCAGGGGTTCTCAATCAAACTCAGAGCTCACTGATATGGCTAGTCTTGTCCTTGTTTTCTTTCTGGGTCTGATATTTCAGGCAGGCTGCCATGCCCACCTGGGATTTGTATGGGTTCTCTTGCTTTTGGAAAGCGCTTTAGTCACTGAACCCACATTTACCATTCCTGTCAACACATCTAAAATAGGAGTTTACAACACTTCCCACACAGACCGAGTAATAGAATTGAAAAGTCCAATCTTTTCATTTTGTTGTGCAAGTCTTTAAAACTTAAGACTTATCAGTTACTTCAACACAGTGTCCAAACTCCTAAATATGGTATCTGTCAAGTTTTCATTAGAGAAGCCAACTGGTGCTTGTGTTTGCCTGCATGAACCTTTAAAACATTACTGAGTGACTAATATATAAGTGTCAACTCTCCTGCCTCCACTACTATCTTCTCTCCTAACTCACACTTCCTGTCACTTCTTGGATACACCTGAAAGTCCCCCAGGTGCCACTTGTCTATGTGGTCAGAGCTGAATTTACTGTTGTCTTCTGCAGGCCTTATACTTCTGTCTTAATTACTGTTCTCTTGCTATGAGAAACACCAAGGCAACTTATAAAAGAAAAAATATTTAGTTAGGGGCTTGCTTCCAGTTCCAGAATGTTAGTCTATGACCGTTATGGTGAGGACCATGAAAACAAGCAGGTGGGTAGGCATAGTTCTGGAGTAGTAGCTCAGAGCTTGCTTGCATCCTGATTAAAGGTAGCAGGGAGAGAGAGAGAGAGAAAGAGAGAGAGAGAGAGAGAGAGAGAGAGAGAGAGGGAGGAAGAAGAAAAAGGAGGAGGAAGAAGAGGAGGAAGGAGAAGGAGGAGGAGGAGGAAGAGGAGGAGAAGGAGGAGGAGGAGGAGGAGGAGGAGGAGGAGGAGAAGAAGAAGAAGAAGAAGAAGAAGAAGAAGAAGAAGAAGAAGAAGAAAGGAGGAGGAGGAAGACGAGGGAGGGCAGGGGAGGGGAAGGAAGGGGAGGGGAGAGAGAGAGAGAGAGAGAAGGGAGAGAGGAGAGAGAGAGATCTCACAAGATTGAGCACAGCTTGGGCTTTTGAAACCTCAAAGCTCACTCTCAGTGACACACCTCCTCCAACAAGGCTACACCTCCTAATCCTTCCCGGAAAAAGCTCCACTAACTGAGGACCAAACATTCAAACCTAGGGCTTATGGGGGCCATTCTCATTCAAACTACCACACCTTCCTGCATCATTCCTGGTACTTAGCCTGATTCCTCCATCCCCCTTAGTCAAACCCTGCACTGCCTGCTTGGCTGGTCTGTGCCTGTTTTCTCTTGCTTCCACCTGTTGTCAGACACTGTGTCATCCATATTCCAAGGGCATGTCAGTCAAGCCTGTCTTTTCTGGTGCCCTGGCCTGGCTTTATTCTTCCTCACTTGGAAGGTGGAGGAGCCTCCTAGTCAGGAGTCCAGTTGACTTTCCACATTACAGACACAACCCAATAACAAAGCTCGTGTGTTAACCCCCAACTTATAATCACCGTGATGCATA